ATTTGTATTTTTAATAGCTGTACTTTTGACTTTTATTACATGATTTATACTTTTGATGGCTGTACTTTTGGCTTCTATTTAATGATTTGTACTTTTGACAGCTGTACTTTTGCCTATTATTATATTATTTATATTTAAATAACTGTACTTTTGACTTCTATTACATGATTTGTACTTTTGATGGCTGTACTTTTAGGTGCTATTATATGATTTTTATTTTTAATAGCTGTACTTTGGACTTCTATTTTGATTTGTATTTTTAATAGCTTCACTTTTGACTTTTATTACATGATTTGTATTTTTGACTGTTTTACTTTTGGCTTCTATTATATTATTTGTATTTTTAATAGTTGTCCTTTTGACTTTTATTACATGATCTATACTTTTGATGGCTGTACTTTTATCGCATAGTTTGCTCTTTTGATAGCTATGTTTAAATAGATGTACTTTTGACATCTATTACATGATTTGTACTTTTGATATCTGCTTTATATTGCAATATATAAAATGTCTTTCATTAGCAAAATCGAACATGTCATAGATTAAACTCATGTTATACATTTGATTGTACTGTTGGTAAAAGAGAAAATTTATTTTAAACTTTGTTAAAAAAAATAAAACCAAATCACTTACTATAAAACCAAATCACTTACTATAAGTAAGTGATTTGGTTTTATAGTAAATAATTTGGTTTAAAAACCAAAAAACCGCCATAAAAACAAAATCACTTACAATTATTAACAATATTGTAACAAAAATTATTTTCATTAGGCTATGTGAATAGTAATGAGCAATTTCATTTACTCAGTAATTGTTCAGCTTTATGTGAATAAAAACTGCAACAATTTTGCTTAAGTTTTTATTCACGTAAAGCTGAACAATTACTAAGTAAATTGTTTAATTTTACGTGAATAAAAATATGAAGAAAACTGCAAAAGTTTTAATTCACATAAAGCTGACCAACTACTGAGTAAAAAAAGCAGTTGCTAATTTTTATTCACCTGGCCTAGTATGATTAGCTGTAACATGACGAATAGCATTAACAAGTTTCTTAATGTTACCAAAAAACAAAAGTATTACCTTGCGTTGAATCAAGCTCTTTTCATAAACTGTTGGCTTATGATTAATGAAGTAAATTTGAAATCATCAAAATTTACTAAATTAAAATCATATTTCTACAGTAGGAAAACTTTAACAAATTAGTAGAATGGCAGAACTAAAGAAATTTTAAAAAAATTATAAAAAACAAATAATAAAAACAATAAAAACCTTTAAATCTTTAAAGGTTTTTAACCAAAGTTTCTAATTATAATAGTAATAAATATTTAAACATGATTTTTTTTTGTTTTAAACAAGACTGAAGATGAAGCCTATAGAGCATGATAACAATCAACAGAACATTTAAAAGATTGAGAGCACTCAGAAACAGATACAATATAATGACGAGAATTAATTAATTAAACGTTACAAAACTCTATTCTCAAACATAACAAACAAAAGCATCTCAAATTTTCAATCAAAATGCAGGATGGGGAATGATTATTATTATATGAAAAACATACCCCACTTTATATTAGTCTGACATGTAAAACCATATTAAAAAAATGATATAATTTATTAAATTATCATTGTTAAGATATTTACTACAATACTTAATTAAGTATTTATCAAACTGCTTGTCCACAACAATAACAATACCACGGTGTTCTACGGTTCTTTTCAGAAAAGACAAAATCTGGAATGTTTTCACACATTCTGTGGAACCGCTGTTGACAGCAATTACACTGCGCCATTTGTTTATCTTTCAGTTGATTTTCCACAGAATTCCATGGCATTCTACAACTGCAAAAGAGTTCTATACATATATCCTTTTGAATGTAATTTTTGCAATCTGCTAACAGATGAGGAAAAGAAAAAACTTTGTTAACCAGAATGCATTGCAACATGTGTGCCCTCATCTCTGGTATAAAGAATGTTATATTGGCAGGGTTTTTGTGCTAATAATATGATAAATAAAAGAAATAGCAAAGACACCACAATCTGCCCCATTTGACCGCTGTTGAACCGGTAATACACGAATAGTTAACTTGTTATGTGTGGATTTCATGATGGCACACATCTGTTGCTTTGTATGATGCAATAGTCAGCAGCTTCAATATCAGTTTCATCATCTTTCCAGTAAGAAATGGTGTAAATGAAGTCATTTTTTCTTTTATTAACTTTGCCACTTGATTTTTTGTCTTTGGCAAATCTCATCTCTTACTTTGCATCGATTCAGTCAATATGTAAATTTGTTTTTACGTGCTACATTAATTGACCATTTAACAATCTTTTCTCTTAAACTTAAATCTGGAGTGTCTAGATAGTCAACAGTCCTATTCTTTTTTGATCTTAGTTTGCAAGTGATATATATATATATATATATATATATATATATATATATATATATATATATATATATATATACTTACTAAAGCATATTTTTATAAGCATTTGCTAACTTTTTTTGCTTATTTTAAACAATACAGCTTTTTAAGGAAAAGAAGGAAAAAACAAAGAACAATGAATGAAACAATCGCTGCCCCATCCCAAACCCTCAGTTGATATAGCAGCACTCCACTGATGTAGCAGTACTCCACAAATGCTTTTTGAAATCTTGTATGCGAGTGTATTTTCTTTTGTAGTAATGATCAATGTTCTTTTTTATCAATAATTATTTAGCAACATATAATAAATATTGTTCCAAATACAAAAACACTTCAGCTTTTATATATATATATATATATATATATATATATATATATATATATATATATATATATATATATATATATATATATATATATATATATATATATATATATATATATATATATATATATATATATATATATATTTGTCAGATATATATTGTAAATCTCACTATTGCTTTTCTCTTTTGCATGTTAAATTCTTTCAGATTTAAGTTTCTGTCGTGTCCGTGATGACAATCAAGAATTTTGCTGCCAATCAACATAAATGGTAAACCAGAAAATGCAATTTAATTGGTTGACCAATATACTTTGTGGTTTTTTTCGTTTAGACCTTAAGAAATAAACAATTTGCTATTAATACTATTAAATAATAGTTGATTTCATAATTATTTTTAAATACTTCAACTTAAAGTACTATGAAATCAATTATAATTATGAAGACCTAAAGCTTAAGTCTTTATAATTATAATTAATTTCATAATTAAATTTTATATATATATATATATATATATATATATATATATATATATATATATATATATATATATATATATATATATATATATATATATATATATATATATATATATATATATATATATATATAAATATTTAAACATATGCATATGTAACATACCAGTATTTCTGAAGCCTTTGGTAAAAAAATACGTACTAAACCGAACTGTATACTCAAGTTCATGGTCTTTAATAAAACTGTGTGCTTCTTCTAAACTCAATGCAGTTTTAAAAAGCGGCACAATCAACAAATACGAATTACTAAAGATAATATACAATAAATGATACAATTACAATTTTGTAATAGGAGTCAATAACTCCTTTTGTAACTCCGTTTGTAAACTTATAACTTATAAGTTTACAAACGGAGTTACAAGGTACGTGGAGTTATAGGTACGTGGAAATCCGCGTTTTACGGAGTTACAGGTACGTGGAAAGTAGAGTTACAGGTACGTGGTTAGAGTTACAGGTACGTGGAAATCCGCGTTTTACGGAACCGATTTTTGTGCTAAAAAACTGTGCCACGCTTTTTAGAATTTTTTTTTAGCTAGCGTAGGGAAGACGTGTTTAGTTGGAAAACTTTTTAGAATTTGATATCAATATAGATTATTTTTAGAAACTAGAATAGTTAAACTTTGTTACTGTTAGGTTTATTATTTTACTAGATAGCTTTTTTATAGAGTTTTTTGATGTCTAAAACTTTGTTGTACTTTGGGCATGAAATTAATGTCGAAGATATGCTCATTCATTTTTCTATACTATTCTTTCATTTAAGTTTTTCATTTATCTATGCACCTGGAAAATTTCATTGAAAAATAAGTTGTAGCAGGGTGTCTATTTTTTGTCGCACTTTTGGTACCTAATTCTCATTTTGCTGAAATGGGCGCGGGAGACAGAGGGGCTAATCAAACAGACAACAAAGCAGTCCAATGGTGGCAGCCAACAATATTAGTTAGTTATTTTACACATTCCATACCCATTAGTTTCTTTTAACTTAAGATCAGTAGATATAGTCTAGACAAATGTTTGTATTATTTTGTTAAAAAAAGTTTTTCAATTGTTTTTTAGAAGATGCTTTTGAGAGGATAAGTCAGTTTCTTTGTTATGCTTTGTTATTTTAGTATTTAGTTATCTGCTTTCAGTATTCATTTAAAAATCTTTATTACAATTATCCACAAAATTTTTTTACAGTTGTTTATTTATGTATTCCTAATTTTTGCTTTCTTTTTATTGAGTCATTGTTGTTTTTTTCTATAGACAATTTAGAACAAGTAAAGTTTAAACTATTTTAGTTATTTAGTCATTTAAACTTATTTTTTGCAATGTTAGTGTTATAGTTTAATTTTATAATAAAGTTCGTAATTTAAAATTGGCTTTTAGGTGAATTCAGACAGGCGATTTGTAAGTTTGGTAAATTTTAACAATTTCAATGGTATAGTTTAATGATACACGCTAACTAAAAATTATTACTTTATTAATAAACACTAAAGGTGTTACATATCTAATTTGAAGTTTGAACGTTGTTTTTATAATAAAGAATCTTGTCTTTTAAATAACTTATTCGAAAAGATATTCCTTAATAAATAAAGTTTATTTATTAAGGAATATCTTTATGAATAAGTTATTTTAATATAAATTTATTAAACTGTTTCAAATTATTATTTGGCCACTATCTAATCTTTATTTATAACTTAAATATTTCTTTTGCTGGTTTAGATGCTCAAAGTTATAGTGAAGTTGTAGCCGACAACATCAGTTAGTTACTTTCTGTATTTAATAGCTTAGTAGTTATTATATAGTATGTATAAATATATATATATATATATATATATATATATATATATATATATATATATATATATATATATATATATATATATATATATATATATATATATACATATACATAATATATATATATACATTTATATATATATATATATATATATATATATATATATATATATATATATATATATATATATATATATATATATATATATATATACATATATATATATATATATATATATATATATATATATATATATATATATATATATATATATATATATATATATATATATATATATATATATATATATATATATATACATAATATATATATATTTACATATACATATATATATATAACAAAATTTACATATATATATAAATATATATATATATATATATATATATATATATATATATATATATATATACATAATATATATATATATATATATATATATATATACATATATATATATATATATATATATATATATATATATATATATATATATATATATATATATATATATATATATATATATATATATATATATATATATATTTGTAAAAATAAAGTTCATTTAATTCTTGTTTAGATGAAGTTGCTTTAGAGAGGATCAGTCAGTTAAACCCCTATTATATGATTTAATAATTTAGTATTTAGTCATTTACTACTAGCTTCTCTTACTGTGATGGAGACATTTAAAGAGGAAACAGCTAGTGCATAGCTTCACAATATAGATAGTGAGGAATTAATGGGTATGTTTAGTGATGCAAAAGTATGGTTTCCTAATGCAACAATTTGCTATATCACTTGCAAACTAAGATCAAAAAAGAATAGGACTGTTGACTATCTAGACACTCCAGATTTAAGTTTAAGAGAAAAGATTGTTAAATGGTCAATTAATGTAGCACGTAAAAACAAATTTACATATTGACTGAATCGATGCAAAGTAAGAGATGAGATTTGCCAAAGACAAAAAATCAAGTGGCAAAGTTAATAAAAGAAAAAATGACTTCATTTACACCATTTCTTACTGGAAAGATGATGAAACTGATATTGAAGCTGCTGACTATTGCATGAAAAAGACCCAGCATGCTGCTGATGTTGTTTCTGGTGAGTTACAATTTAATGAATTTAAAAACACAAGTGTTGTGACTTGCCTAAATTATATAGCAAGTGTTGTGATTTGCATAAATAATACAGCTTGTGTTGTGACTTGCCTAAAATATATAGCAAGTGTTGTGACTTGCATAAATAATACAACAAGTGCTGTGACTTGCCAAAAATGTATTTCAAGTGTTGTGACTTGCATAAATAATACAGCTAGTGTTGTGACTTGCCTAAATTATATAGCAAGTGTTGTAATTTGTTAAATTTTTTGATAGACGACTCTGGCTTACCCTCGTGTGCTGGCTATTATTAAAAATAATTAAAATATAGTTTTATTACTGGAATTAATCATATTAATCATTCACTAAAAACCAAGACAAAAATATATTAAATTATTTTTAAAATAATTAAATTTTTTTTTTTTTTTAATGTTAACATTTTATTTATTATTTATTTTGAAACAGAAATTTGTTTGTTAACCAAACAGAATGGCTAGCTCGTTAACCATACTGTATGGTCCTTACTTTTTTTAATGTAATAATCACATAAAAGACTTTAATATAGGTAGTTGCTATACTTGGTTATAAAGATGACATGTTTTTTACAGCCAATTGACTTATAATTATAGCCCCACAATAGTAGTTGTATAATTTTTTAAGTAATATATATCCAATTGGTTTGGTTAGAGGCATTCTAATGCCCCTTCCCTTATGATATATAGTGATAGGTCCTTCCTTATACTCCATTCTCTTATGACCATGGATGCACCACTAATGTATATTTTAATCTAGTGGAATATGTTTTTTACTTTTTTGTTGTTGTACTTTAAATATTCATTAAGGTATTTCAAGAATTAAAAATGTTTTTGATATTATAGTACTAAAACATCATCAACATATCTATTATGAGTTTTACATTCATCTCTCATATTTGGTGGTTGTCTGGTATGAATTTATTTTTTAAATTGTTTCCAGTTTCATAATTTTTTTTTTTAATTTATTATTTAAATTTTGAAAACAGTAATTGCATATTTTTTCTTTTTTTTTTTAGGTTGGAGGGGGGGGGGTCATACGCCCCTCCCATAATAGAAACACCACTTGTATACATAAGATCTTGTATAACATAATTTTATATTGTATACTAGTTTTACTCATTTTAGTAAAGATAAATATTTATAAAATCAAGTGGTTTTTGATACAAGGGTGTATCAAACCATCACCACCACACACACTATTATTGCTAACATACACCTCTCATATATTTTAGTTTAGTATAAATTTAAAACAATTTTTTTGTATATTTATATTGCTTATGTCTTAAAAAAAAACTTTTTTTCTAAAAAAGTGTTCAGTTTCACACGGGCAAGGTGGTGGTTTGGTACCCCCTCTGTCCATCCGATACGCCCGGCGGTTAGAATTTAATATAAAGTTGTAGCCCACTCTTACACCTATCTTTTGATGCCAAGATATTTGTTTTTTTGATAAGAATTGACAAAGTTATGACAATTTAAGTGAAGAAAAACAATATTTTGACCACAGTTTCTTCAACAAATCCATATATAGAAAAATCGGTACTTAAACCGTCATAACTTTTGAACCAATTGTTCGATTTTGATAATTTTTTCACCTTTAAAATACTATAATAATCCTCTTTCTAATGATATATAACAATATAGTATTCAAACAATTTGAAATTTTTACTCACGTACCTAATATTATAAGCTACACATTAAATTGGTTCCATGGTTCCCCATAGTAATAATCACGTTGTAATTTATAATATATACAAATAAGAATAGATAATAACAAAGCGTATAAAACAAAATTCTTTAATCCATATTCATAATGATGGTAAAATAAATATTACAGCAATATTGTAACATTTACAAAAAGTATCTTCTTACGACTACGATTTCACTTAACATTCCGCGGCTTTTTAGTTACGGCAACCGTTTTAAATTTGAAAACGAGGCGTACTTTTGACTTCTATTGTATATTGTTTACCTTAAATAATCAAGTCACGTTATCTTAGTTTCGATACTAATGATGATTTTACGGTAGCGAATAAAAAACCCTAATTTATTAGCTTCTATTTAACAGAATATTTTTCTAAATCGGACACGTCAAAAACAACTGTGTGGCCAAGTTTTATTTTCACGGTTGAGAGATCTATATTTTATTATTTATTTCAGAACATTTATTGATAGAATAAAACGTCGGTAACGTGTAATAGGAACCGTTGTGGCCATGGCAGGAATCTCTATGGCCCAGTGATATATTAAAAATAACTAGATGTCTAACTTCCGCGTATTTTATGAAGCAAAAATCAGCCATTATGGGGGGCAAAAATAAATAGCAAATCACGGTTGTTTGGATCAAATAATATTTAATATTCAAAAATTAGAAATCATGGTTAATTCTTGTGCAGCAGCAGGTTGCACAAATAGAGCAATGAAAAACAACAACAGAGTATTTCATAAATTTCCAATTAGTAATAGCGAACTCTGTAAAAAGTGGATTGTTGCTATAAAACGTGAAACATACCTACTGAGCACAGCTGCATTTGTAGTGATCACTTTTTACCTTCAGATTACAATATACCTGATTTAAATAACAAACCGCAATTAAAACCTTTTTCTATGCCATCTAATACTATTGATTCAAAACCAAAAGTCAAAAGAAAGTTTAGTTCTATAAGGATTGTAATTTTTAAATAGCTCTTGATTTATTGTAAGAAGATTATTATAAGATAACATGTTCTGTGTGTGCAAACTCACACAAAACAATTTTGTGGAATATGCTATAGAGCATCAGTTCTTTCATTGATTAACATAAAAAATAGGAATTATTGCTCCTTCCCAATCAGCATTTCAACGTTGATTCAACGTTGATAACGCGTTGATTTACAGACGTCGATTTATTCGTCGAATTGGAAACAAAATATCGACGTTGAAATATCAACATTGATTCGACGTCAATAAATCATCGTTGAGCGTACGTTGATTTACAAACGTTGATTTGGAAACAAGAAATCGACGTTGAAATATCAACATAGATTCAACGTCAATAAATCAACGATGAACTTACGTTGATTTACAAACGTTGATTTAAGCGTTGATTTGGAAACAAGAAATCTACGTTGAAATATCAACATCGACTCAACGTCGAAAAAACAACTTACGTTTTATAAACGTTTTCGAAAGATAACATTTAAAAGATTTACAAAAAAGTATTTGTTACAAAGTTTAATAAGTGGGGGAAAGTAAGATTTTATAAGTGGGGGAAAGTTTATTTTTATTTGTCGCTACTACTTCCGCTTTTGTTTGATGCAACGTCACATTCTACTTCGCATTCGTCGTCACCTTGATTTATTTCTTCATCGCTTTTGTGAACTTCATCCTTTTCTATTTCGTGGTTGCAAGATTTCCGTTTAACTCCATTCAAACGATAAGGTACATATTTTAGGCAGGAGGCAATAAATGACCTAGTTTCTTTGTCTGTTGCTTTAGGCTCACAGCGCTTAATCGATTCTAAAAAATAAATGCAAAAATATCAAATTTGGTCAAGTGAATAAAACTGTAGATAAAGGATGAAAGAATGTCTTCAATTTACACTATTTAATACGAATACATGAAATTTACAACTTTAATGTAAACTGATTTAATTTTATTTTTCAATTTGTTCAAGGAAGATTTTTATATCTACTTTTTGTGAATTCAACTTAATTTATTTATTTTCAACAGGCAGCCTTTAAAAGGAAATATAAATATATAAAAATATAGAGATCAACATTATAGCTACCAATTATTGCTTTGTAAACATTTAACTTTTCCATAGGTAACTTCACAGTAACCTTTCCCTTGGAACCAACCAAATTAAACTTCGATTGAAGTCTGTTTGTCATCAACCTTAAACATGTCAAAAAAGAAACTCAACATTATTTTTCTATAATTAAAAATCGCTTTTAAAAACTAATTTTCTTTGCAAAAATAGTAAGTACTATTGATTTAAAAAATGTTTCAACCTGTTTATCATGTTTGCAACACTTTTTTTACCATTGTTACCGCCAATGGAAGATAGCTGATTAACCTGATATAAAAATAAAACAATATCTATAGGAGCAATGTGGCAATATTGCATAATAGAGCATCTAGATCTTCAATGGAATTTTTAGATAACATCCTCGCAGATAAAAGGTCAGGTTATCCTGCTACTAGTAAGTGACCGGGGCCATGGCCCTAAACAGAGCTTTTTACAAACCCAGCACCGGCCCCGGGTTACTAGCTGGGGTTAGATTTTTTTATAGTATTGTAATCTTTTTCACTGTTTTTGTTTATTTTGTTTAAGCTAATATCTGTTATGAAAGTTAAAGAAAATATTTAAAAAAAGTCATAAATACATTTAATAAATATTTAGATTTTTATTTAATGTATTTATGACTTTTTTAAAATATTTTCTTTAACTTTCATAACAGATAATAACTTGAACAAAATAAAACAAAACAGTGAAAAAGAGTACAATACTATAAAAAAAATCTAACCCGGCTAGTAACCCGGGGCCGGTGCCGGGTTTGTAAAAAGCTCTGTTTTGGGCCAGGGCCTCTTATCATCATCAGCATCATTTATGTAGATCTCCTGAAAATCTTGACTTCAGGACGGTTTTGCCAATGAGGAGGGGTGTTTTTTAAAAATACCCACAAATTTACCTATAATGGTCAATTTCAGTATAATAGTCAATTTAGTATAAAATATTTTAAATTTGTATTATTTTGTCGTAAGTATAATATTTAAATATTATACTTACAACAAAATAAATAGATTCACATAAATGATGCTGATGATGATAAGGATAATGATGACAATGATGATGGTGATGATCACAATGATGATGATGATGCTAATGATCATAATGCTAATGATCATGATAATCATGATGGTCGGGAGTTGATGATATACACATTTATAAAAAATATACTTATAGGATCTATCAATGTAAATGTAGCCATGTTCATCACACAAGATTTTAATCTAATCAACACTATATTTAAATGAAAAATAACTTACAAACTTTTTAAAAACCCTTTTGTCAGCTCCAAGTTTTCGATCGAACTCATATAAAGCGTCTATATCATCAAATTGTATTAATATCTCTCCTTCAACATCTTTCATTCTGGTGCCACTAACTGCATCTAACTTTTTGGATATTTCACTCATTTGCAAGGTTATTTGGGCCAACCTCCGTAATACTATATGTTGAAATCCTGAGTTTGAAAACAAAAAGTACTTTATAAATATAATATATATATATATATATATATATATATATATATATATATATATATATATATATATATATATATATATATATATATATATATATATATATATATATATATATATGATATACTAAAGAAACCTACCATTATCTTCGAGATTTTTTGAGCTAATTAACTCGTCCCGAGCACAAGCAGAATCTCTTTTATTGTAATTAACATAAGATTGAGAAATAACAGCAGGTGAATTGGTGGAAACATTTGTGAATGAGCTTTCTAACATGCTAGTAGTAGTCTGACTGTTTAATGTTGGTTTGCGTATAGAAAAATCATCACATGTAGAAGAGGTAGTAGTTGAAAGAAATGGCTTTGGTATGTGAGCTGTTGATAAAGCAGTAAGTCCAGAATAACCACCATGTATAGAAGAGGTTAGAGTATAACCTTTAGAAACCAATTTAACATTAAAATAGTTTGACATAACATTTATTATAGTAAAAACCATTAATATGTTATTTTGAAAATCTAAAAAAAATTTAAATAATTTAAAATAAATATGTCACTAAGGCAAAAGGTACCAGATGAAATTTTTTGACTTGAATTGTTCCTTTTCGCTTTTTGTGGAACATCTGTATCCGGCGTAACAGTTCCTATGAAAGAAATTATATTATTATACAAGAATATTATAATTATACAAGAAAACAATAGTGTTATAAATATAATCATTTTTGAGTATTATATATCATTTTTACTTATTGGCATTTTCGGTAGAACTGGCTTTGGAATATACTTAATAACTGCATGTCATTTTTCAGATGAGCTGGGACAACTCTTAATCATCATTTCATTGTTATACAGTTCTCCAGCTGTCACATTATCTCCATACTCTTCACATACTTCTTTGTCATCATCTAGGATGGAATCAATTAATGTTTACATTTAAAGTCTTATTATAAGGAAAAAACATAATGAAGACATTTATTTATTTAGTAAACTTAATGAGCACTCATTAAATATATAAAAAGACCTATAAATAATTTAAAATTATATCTTTAAAGAATTTATTTTAGAAAGAGACATCAATGAAGTGCTTTAAGAGTATAGTGGGCATTCGTTTAGTCATGCAATTAGTAACTCAATCATTTGATGGAGTTACTAATTTAAGTGATCATCGAAAACAGTGCAAATAAATTAGTCGAATTGAAAGAACCCATAAAAAATAATAATTTTGTGTAAATATTTTTTATAAATAAAAATAAAATATTTTTTAAAAACATTTTTATATATTACATCATTTAATATTAATAAATCTTCAATTACCAGTTAGCTTGATGTATTTCAGGTTGAATTGATACCAATCATCAGTTGGATTGGACATTTTTTTCATTGATGACTCAACATTTTTATTAGGCCAAAATACTTTGTTACACTTTACCAGTTTGATGGAAGAGTCTGTTCATATTCCTCTAATGAGCCATCTTTTGCATATTCAAACCATACTGCTCTGGTCCAAGACATTTTGTTTGTGAAATTGACAATTATAGTATACCTGTTTATCTAACTCAAAAGAAAAAAATTAATCTATTAATAGTTTAATATAATAGTGAAATTATTAAAATAAATGTGAAAGAAATTAATTATTATATGTTTTAAATGTATATATATATATATATATATATATATATATATATATATATATATATATATATATATATATATATATATATATATATATATATATATATATATATATATTACAAAATAATAACAGTAAAAACAGAAATTAAAACAAAAATATGTAGCTGTAAATTTTACCTTTTTTTGAAATGGCTTTTAATGACTGTATAAATAAAAATATTCTTTTTATACCAGTTGAAAATAAGGAAGTCAGACATATTGATAATGCTAAAATACTAATAGTTAAACTTTTTCTCAGACTAATTGCTTAATTATATAAATGCTCTGTTTATACTAGCTAAAAATTAGCAAAGCAGACATCCTCAATTATTAAGTTGCTGCAATAAAACAAATAGTGATAAATATTTTTACTATTATCAAATAATGCAATTTAATTATTATCATCAATTTTTTGTACATATAATTATTGTTAGTTCATTTTTGTTTTTCATTAAAAAAAAAAGCGAAAAATATTTAAAAAACAAAATACTCAAATCTTACTTAAAAACAATGATAAAAAATAAATAAATATAAACATTATTATAATATCTATATTTGTTCATTAATTGGTTTTTTAATTTTAATAGAAAAAATATTATTTGTAATTGAAGACTATAGTGCTCAAAGTACTTAAGTCACACAAAAAAAATTAAGAGAAAACATATTTCAATAATTTTATTTATATAGCCTTTTTGTTGTAACAACTTTAAGTAAATGCATTAAGTAATAATTTATTTTTTCTTTACTTAATTATTATATTTCTTGATTTTTATTTAGTTACTTTGTTTATAAATTTAAATTTTAAAAACAAAAAGATTTTACAAATAAACGATTAAAATATATTTTCTGACAACATTTTCTTTGTGAATTATTACTTTAAGCACTTAGGTCTTCAATTATTATTGGGATTTTTATCTAAGTATTTAAAACTTTTTTTTTATACAAAACAACTCTTTTATTTAATGATAAATAATTCAAAAATTTACATTGTGGTGTAACGGCACCAACACATACCCATCATTGTATGGAATACCACATACTTTTTTAATAATTAGATCTTTTTTTATAAATTGTTTCTTGAATTGTACATTTTTATGAAGGAAATATATATGCAACAACTTAGAACAACACGGATCATCAAAAAACCCATCCAAATCAGATATTTGATAGACAGCATTCTAAATCATTACCAATGATATTATTTACACGCACTACTTTTTCTCCACTAATGAAAAACCATCTATTTTTATTTCCAATTGAAATCTTAGTTTTTGATTGTTGTTTGCTTCTTGTTACACAACATTTCTCTATCTCCTCTATTCTTTTTCTCAATTGTGACAAGGGACTTTGTGCCTTGCGCACATAAGATTTTAGAATGCCTAGATAGTTTTCAAAAGGAAAAGCAGATATATCTTGTAAACTGCAGCTGTGGTTGACCACATCTTCATACAGATGTGTCAAACTATGAACATTATAAGTAACAAATTCTTGTCCATAAAGAAATGATGACCGATATACAAACCATTCCAAGAGCCCTTTTGCATACATTAACAACTTATGATCATTCAAAAGATCATTATCAATCATTATACTCATAGCAACTGATAAGCTTAAGAAATGTGTATATATTTCTTGAGAAACTACATTTTTTAAAACAATCATACCGGTATATAAAAGAAAATTTTTGAACTCTGTAGCTTTCCAGCGTTTAAACTCATCAATACCTCTTGATTGTCTTGCAAACTCGCTGGGCAATTTTCCTGATAATTCTCTAAGTTTTTCAGAAATAACTGCTTTTTGAATCTCTGATACCCTGCATGATCTTTTACCTTCGTTGAAAAAAATTATTATTCTTTTAGTTACTCCTAAATAAACCAAATGCATGATATCTAAAACAAATGATGTAACACATGGTATATTATATTTAGCTAGAGTACATAAAGTTTTTTGGTGTTCTTTGTAACCGTGTAGGTTAAATTCTGTATCATTTTTCAGAGTATATCCTGACCCCAAAAAAATTTGTCTGTGATTAAAACGTGCACCGTCAATAATACATCGCTCACATGAATCGTATCCATTATGGCTAATTATAGACTTCAAAAATTGTCGAGCTGGAGCATCACAACAAAATGATTTAAGGGAAACTAAGTAATGTTTATATTGAGTTTTGATTCCATTTTGTAATAAATTTGTTAACTCATTTACAAAATCAAACATAAAGCTTTCTTCAGATGAAGGTTTGCTCTTACCACAGAAAATAGCTACAGCAAATGGTTGGATACTTGAAAATGAGCAAAGTATGGGCCATAAAGCTACTGATGTGCTTTTAAATAATGGTATTCCATCAACATTGACAACTAATTCAATTTTCGCAAGATTTGGAAATTTGCTTAAAAGTTTTAAAATATTAGTTTCCAAACCATAATAAATGTAATCGCCACCACACTTATTCTTCAGAGGAATGTTACTTGGAGTTTTCAATAATGTTCTTACATCTTTTGGAAGCTCTGTGTGGCCATTTTTTCTCAAAATAAAAAGAAGTTGATTTGTTGCAGAATGTGAAGTTTGGTTTACAACAAACCATTCTGCTAATTCTTCACGTAGATTTCCATTTATTATTTTGTCATCTATAAAGTTTCCATGATTCAAGAAACAAGAATTAGAATCAGAACTATCGGAGACTCTGGCGGAGTCAAGATTGGAATCTGAGTCGAAATCTGTTTCCTCAACACCTTCAACTTCTTGCTCAATTGATTCTTCGGAAAGAACTCTATAATCTGAAACATTTATTTGTTGTTTATCTGTTTCTATTGTACTATCTGTCTCATTAAATAAATCAATTACTGATTTATTAATTTTTCTCCATTGCGTAATTCGTGATGACATAGCAACGTAATACTTTTATTCCTAAAAATAAATAATTAAATATATTTATATTAGGGTGTTAGCCAGGAATATATTTCATACAGATTTTTTGAAATTGTCATATATATATATATATATATATGTATATGTATATATATATATATATATATATATATATATATATATATATATATATATATATATATATGTATATGTATATATATATATATATATATATATATATATATATATATATATATGTATATATATATTTATATATATATAAATATGTATATATATATATATATATATATATATATATATATATATATATATATAATATATATATATTAATATATAATATATTATACTTTAATTGCAAAAATACATTTTGTAATTAAAGTATTATATAATTATAATTATATAATATATATATATATATATATATTAATATATTATATATGTACATATATATTTATATATATATAATATATATACATGTGTGTGTGTATACATGTGTATATTATATACCTTATATTATATACATGTGTATATTATATCTGTATTTGTTAGGAAACATTGTTTTACACATTTACACATTTACAAAAATACATTTTGAATTACTTTTTTAACTAAAGCTAAAATTGCTAGAAAAAAAATTATAATTTACTACTCTGAGAACTAGTTCTCAGAGTAGTAAATTATAATTTTACTAGCAATTTTAGTAGCAATTTTACTAGCAATTTTAGCTTTAGTTAAAAAAAATTCAAAATGTATTTTTGTAATTAAAGTTGTGTAAATGTGTAAAATAATGTTTCCTAACAAAAAGTGAACTCTTTTCAATAATCATTACTAACAATATTAAAATGGCATTGAAGCATCACTATTTCCTGCCAGCAGAATAAAAAACGAAAATTATAAACCAAAAAAACTTTAATTATTTATAATCCATAAATTAAAATATATTTTAGATTACTTGTAAATAGCTATTTACAAAAGTCAAATAAAAGAATAACTCTTTTGTATGAATAATTTGTAAATATTTTACACTTTTTAATAAAGTACAATAAACAATAGCACATTTCTCTGAGCGATTAGCCATCTTTATTTCAAATAAGAAGTTCGCGATATCAAACAGAAAGTAAAAAGACATGTTGATTTAACGTTGATTATATCAACGTTAGTTTATTACCAATACATTAACGTGGAATAAGCGTTGAAAATGCCGACGTTGAAATTTCCTCTTTGTTCAGACGTTGAAACAACGCCATTTTCTTTAACGTTAGTTTATCAACTATAAATCAACGTGGAATAGACGTTGAAATTTCCGACGTTGACATTTTAACAATGCACAGACGTTGATAAGACGTCGTTTGCTTACTGGGTATGTATGTAAACGTGCTATGTGCGTCAAAATATGATCACCATCAAAACGTACTATGCATGTACATTAGTGTTGCTGTACATTATCAAGGTATCTAATGGATATTAAATCTATTCATAGTCTATATTTGAGACTATTTAGAACTTTTTCAGTTTAGTTTAGTTAAAATAGCTAGGTATGATTAAAGAAAGAGATAAAACTTATTTTATTCAAAAATACATATTCAAATATTACATATATTTACATGTAATTGAATAAAATCTACACAAATTTCTTCTCTTTTCCACCACATTTTTGAAATAAAGCGTAATTTAGAAAGTCAAACAATATTCCATTAACCGAGGGTCTTTTGGTCCATTGAATACAATATAAGAAGCTGTAAATAAAAAAATATATTAAAAAAAAACAAAAAGGGAAGATTTAAAAAATAAATAATCAATGGAAAAGTGTTACAACTTATGAAGGTATATCTTTTTCAACGCCATATAGATTAGTGTTCTTAAAACATATTTTTCCACCTTTGCCCTTCATATCCATGGAGGCCATATAACTTTTCGAAAATACTCTGAAGTTTTAAAAAATAATATAACTGTTAGTTGGTTATTAACAACTTTTTCAAATATTTAATTTAAATAAAACAACCTTTTTAATATATTAAAAATAAATTAATAATCAAAATATAAAACATTTCTAGCATTGAAAAATAATTTTCGGGGGGCCCATATAAAATTTTTATAAGAAATTTTATGTGGCCATTTATTAATGGTTTAACGTCCATGTTTATACACTTATGGGGCTTGGACAGGGATCAAATAATGTCATTTGTTATGTTAAATAGCATGCATTTTCTAAAGCAATTTTTTACAATTCCATGCACTTTAAGGCGTTAACCAGTTTTGCAGACCGAGAATGGGTATTTTGAACATTATACATCTATCAAAAATTAAAAAAGGAAGAATTAATGAGGAGCTTTGATCAAATTTTTACCTCTTTAGAGGATAATAGAGGATTTTAGAAGTGGTTTTAAAAAAAGAGGACTTTAGAGGATTTTAGAGGAGCTGCAGACACCCTGATTATAAATGAGGTAACTCCACCAATTAACTGTAATTGATTTATCTGTAAAAAAACATGAAGTAAATCTAATATTATGCTTGTGGAGATATATTATATTGTGGAGAACCATCCAAACCACACAAGTGGAAAATTTGCATCCAAGTTTCCACTTGTGTGCAAATCTTGCATCCACTTGTCAACATTCTCATTATCACATTTTTCTTTTGTAGTTGTGAATTTAAAATTTTCACAATACTGTTTGCTTTCTTTTAGAATTGAAATAGTTATACAAATAGCTATATAATTTGTATCAACAAAATAACTCTTCTTACCACATTATTTAAAAAATAATAATTGTAATATATAGATGTAATACCTGAAGAGAATTTAGTTTTTATTTGTATAAACTTAAGCCAATTCTTCTCCGCATTTTAGTGCAGTCAATGCTTTGGTACCTGGAAGCCGACAAACAGTTTTATCACTAATCCAATCAGATGGAATTACTTCTTCTTGTAAATCTTCATTCCAAACAGCTCCTTTCCGCATATTCGATTTTGTAAAACTTACATGAACTAATATAAAATGAAGAAACTATAATATAAGTGTACTAACAGGCCTAATTAAACTAGCTAAATTTGAACATTTTATAACCATGATACTTGCTAAACAAAAATATTAGTAGACATTATAAGCAAAGATAAGATTTTCTTTATTTTATAAATTTATTATAATTTAAACTCATTTTTATTAATTTTTTATTACTCTATTATTCAGCAGAGTTCTGAATATAATATGTTCAAATAACTTAAGGCTCAATAACAAAGACAAATAATGAAAGAATACTAGGTTGCTAAAACATAAACATCTACATAAGATAATTATGGAATATTGAAAAAAAATAGAAATACAAAAAAACAAAAATACTCATTATTAATATAAAATATAATAGTATAATATAAGGTATATTATAATATATGACACAATAATATCTACTTTTAATTAAAATATAAAAACAACAAAAATTAAAAAAGAAAATATTTTGATAAATAATAAATTATCATTCAAACAATTTTCAAGACCAAAAAATAACTTGTAACTTATTTTTTAACTTATCTTTATCTAATAAACATTACTTATTTTTCACTCATCTTTATCTAATAAACATTAACATTAATACCAATTTTAAACATTATTAGAATTTTTTTTTATCAAAAAATAAAAATATTACATCAGTTACTTTTTGTGCTTTTCGTATTTTACTTAAAACATCAACTCAATTCTAAGCTTTTTTCCTAATTGAGTTTTAATTTGTAATGTTGAATTAACACTGAAAAAATATATATTAGCAGACAAAAAGAAAATATTTCAATATATGTAAATATTTCAATAAAGAAATTTTAGATTGATTTTTATAAATATAAATTTATATCAATCAATCTAAATTTTTTTCTTTTCCCCCAACTTTTCGAAATGAAGCGCATTTTTAGAAGTTAGACAAAATGCTATCAATTAAAGTTTCAGTCGCTCCATCGTATTTAATAGAAGAAGCTGTTAGAAAAAAAATTAGAAAAAAAAAATTTTAATTTAAATTGAACTCATTATCAAACAATTTTTTTGCTAAATAATTTAATCCTTAAAATTCCTGAATAATTAAAAATTATTTTGATTACCTCAGCATTTTAAAGATATTCTATCAATTGCAATTGATTCACCTAAAAAAAAACAACAAGTAAAGCTAATATTATTGTTTGAAATTTTAATTATCTTTATACAAATACTCATTATATTTTAAAGTGACTGATAAAAATGGATTTAATTAAAATCACTTAATTTGTATTAAAAAATTAATATCAAAGCCTTAATCATACATTATACATGAGTATTTTGTAATACAATCTAAATAGTTGTTGCAATATGTAAATTTTTTAATCCAAAATTTAGCTTCTGTAAGCTTTAGAAATTTTTTAAAGAAATTATTGATGAATTTAGAGCTACGGGTACTAATGTTTTTATATTGTTGTAATGTTTGTATTCATTCCCTGTTAGTTTCTGTAAGTCAAAATTTTAAGGTGTTTCCATAATAAATTCTGTTATATCTGAAATTTAGTGTTAGTCTGAATAATTTAATTTCTAAAATCTGTTTTGCATTGCCTGTCTTATAACATCTTTACTTGGAACAAAAACCATGTGGTTTAAAAGTGAGCTAGAAGCTTTCAACAATGAAGAAAATATTGCATTCACTAATCCTAAAAATATATTCAACCTGTCAGCAAAATCAGCTGTCAATAATCCAAGTATTAGCATCATTAGAAATTCATCTTTGTTGCATTACATTTTGGTCCAAGTAGTTAAGGATTTTTTTAAATTTCAAAAAACAGAAGTAAATGTTTTTTTTTTTTTAATATCACTTTATCTCTTTTGATTAATGGTGATACTGCACTAACTGATGAAACACATTGACAGATGTAAGGCCAGTATAAAAGTCGATCTATTATTTTTAAAATAAATATTTGTATACAAGTTAATTGCAATAACACGATTCGTTTGGATTATGTTTATATACAAATTTGTCTGTTTTCATAGTAATAACTGATGTGGTTGAAGTTAATTTTTCATATAAATCTTTATTTTTTTATTTCGTGCTGAAGCTTTTTTTTAAATTTATCAATTTTCTTTTTTAATTCTTGATGCTTTATTTAAAAACAACGCTTAGCATCAAATTCAACATAATTTAATGGATCATTTTTTGAAAAAGCTGTATTATATTTACATTTAATAATATCAGTCTTTGAGCTTTGTAGCCCAAGTTAAACAAAAAATATCGATTTTTAAACGAACATGTTCTTTCAGGAAAATCGTCTGAACATGTTTTCGATCTCTTGAAAATTCTATATGATATAAGTTCAGTATTTACATTTTTTTTCCATTATAAATCTCTATAACTTTAACTGTTGAAATAATGTTTACGATTTTACTTCCATTTCTGCGCGCGCATAAATTTTATATCGTATATTTTGTCAACAATGATTGAAATAATGACGTTGAAATAACGTTAAATAATCAACGTTTAAACTGTAACGTTGATTTAACGTTGAAATAACGTTAAATAATCAACGTTTAAACGGTAACGTTGATTTAACGTTGTGACACGTTGAAACAATGCTTCAACCGATTTTCAACGTTGAAACAACGTAATAATGCCGGCTGGGATATCTGTGTATCGATTTTTATTGATTACATTTTTAAACAATTTTAAGCTTCATATTTGTTTTGTTTTGATTAATAGCGTAAAGATTTTGCGCCCCATAATGGCCGATTTTTGCTTTACTTTTTCTTATACCGATTTACGGCAGTTAGACATCCCAAATTCCTTAAACTACGGCAGACACAATAAAATTTTCAGGGATTTTCCTCTAGCAAAAAAATCCGAAGCTAAGTTGGCTGCCGTTAAATTTAATCTCTATGTTAAGGGTTTCCATAAAGTACGTCACGGAGAGTTTGACTCTCTTTTGCAGAGATTTTAGCAATGTTTACAGCGAAGTTTTTGAAATTTAAATTTAGCGTGACGTAGTTTATCAATAACCACTCGACGAAAAAAGTCTTAAAATTGCTTATATTCTTTTTCAATAACATATCTTCAAAAATATTTCAATAACTATTTATAAAAGTTCTAAAATATCTTTGATAAAAAATAAATAAACTTTCTAATAAATCTATCTAATTTTAAACTATGTGGCCAACGCCACAATGTTCACCCCTTAGATCCGCGCCTGTGTATATATATATATATATATATATATATATATATATATATATATATATATATATATATATATATATATATATATATATATATATATATATATATATATATATATATATATATATATATATATATATATATATATTTACACGAATTCGACTAAAACGAAAACAAAAATAGAAATTATATGTTTATAATTATTATAAATTAATAATGTGCAAAAAATAATTTTTTAAAACAAATTCAAAAGTGTTCTTTAAACAAAAACACCTAAAAAATATGTTTCTTTATAAATATTTTAAGTTTATAACATGTAAAAAATAATATTTAAAATATATTTGAAACTGTTCTTCAGCAAACTACACAGTCTTTTCATCAGGTTTATGTTAATCCGAGGTTAAAAGTTTATATTTGGTTTATCAATTTAATCTAGGATTCTAAGTTTAGATTTAGTCTTTCCATTTAGATTATAACTGAAATTCAACAT